ACACAGGAAATGAAAGTATTTCCTCAAATTTAAATTATGGCTCAAGAATAGAACAACTCGAGATATTGTCACTGAGTATTTGGAATTACTACTGCCTCCATCCACAAATATGGCAGAGCGACGATTGTGAAATAAGAATTATTGATATCATACACACATAAAACATCCCTTTCTAGTCAAAAGTGAGATTTAATTGGAACTTGTCTTCGGTTTTCTTGACATTTGGGGTCATACATTTTAAGGAGATGGTGTTCACAGACATATGAAAGTGGTTAAAGTGCAAATCATTATTACAGTGAAATGACATCCCATCTGGTCACATTATACTAACACTTGGCTTCATATCAAACTCACTTGAGTTGTTGAAAGTCTCATTACATTAAGAAATGAATGCCCTGCTATGTACCTGGTGATTCAAATTTAAGGTCAACTTATAAAAATAATCGTTGTAACATATATTAAATTCACCGAGGCGAAAATATGTCCAGTTTTGGAACCTTAAAGCTATCCATGCCTGATCAAGATTTATCATGAAGATATTGATCAACCATTTAGCCTTTGAAGGTCACAGATTAAGGTCAAAGAGGTCACAGATTCAAAATTTTTGAAAAGCATCTTATATGGCCACAAAGGCAGGTACACCTATATGGTGTGTCAAGTTTCATGATATCAAAGTGTTTCCTTTTTTCTTTAAGTTTCCTTATAAATTCAGACAGTATTCCTAGTGATTTCAGTGTTGTTTAGAATGTGACATTACAGGGAAGGTGTTTTCTATGAAGCAGAAGACGCTAATACTTTTTGAACATATGGTCTTAATTATCCTTGCACTCTCTCAAGAGTCTCAAAGTAAATTTTTTTCGTTAATGTTTTTTCCTTCTTTCCATCTATTTTGTGATTTTGCTAAATTGTTGATATATTTTCTCATTATCTTTTCGTATTTATGATTTACGATTTAATGATAGAGATTCTTCTTTAATGTCTAGATCACATCTTAATTTACATTGTCTGCTTGCTATAATTTAAGACATTTGAATAAACCTTAAAGATCTTTCCTTGTCAGAAGATATGCATTTTGTCATCAATATGTACATAACTTCCTTTTAATTTCTGTAATTCTCACCCAGTACAGCCTGAACATCTCACTGAACGCCATCAAAATAACAATGCTTATTCTGGTATTTTTTCATACCACTTGATATCTGGGAACCCTAGATCATACCCCAGTGTACTAGTTACCATTCTACAGTTTGTGATCATTCAAGGATGTCTGTTTACCTTCAGAAACATGGCAAGTGTCAGGAATTTTCCTATCACTAGAAATATGAATAACCACCAATCTGTTTAATATAGTAACTCTACAGGGGTTCCTGACCCATCTGTTCACTCTATAAACAGATCCTGGATACAATCTGGGAGGATGACACTGACAAACGACCAGGGTAGTAACACACCAATTATTTTTTGTGCTGTCAAATTCTAAACAAGCAAATATGAATATTTTTTTTTCTAAGTAACAACGATATTTTTTTATCTTTTCTACCTTTTTTTTTCATCTTTTCCTGGTAACTTAAAGTTTTTGATCTCTGAACTTTAATGTCTGTCAGCTAAAGCCAACGGATAGATTTCCTTATTGGATTAAAACACTTAACAGCTCTAACTTCATGGGCTTACTACAGGACAATAAGCCAGGTGACCAATATATTTGTCCTTACATAAAGTCAGGGGATGGGCTTAATACAGGACAATAAGCCAGGTGACCTTTTCTCCTTACATAAAGTCAGGGGGTGGGCTTACTACAGGGTAAGGATTTTACTTAACTCTTCAGTGGTAAATGTATATGTGTGGGCTTTCTACCCAGCATGGACTTATTGCTGGATAAACATGTATAGCTAGATAATTATGATATCTTCACAGAGTTCTCTTAATTGAGGATAAAAAAGGCTTCATTTTATGACGATGTGCAAGCAGATATGTATTTGGGTAAAGGCAGATACGTGTTTGGGTAAAGGCAGATACACATTTGGGTAAAGGCAGATACGTATTTGGGTAAAGGCAGATACGTGTTTGGGTAAAGGCAGATACGTGTTTGGGTAAAGGCAGATACGTATTTGGGTAAAGGCAGATATGTATTTGGGCAAAGGCAGATACGTATTTTAGTAAAGGCAGATACGTATTTGGGCAAAGGCAGATACATATTTGGGTAAAGGCAGATACACATTTGGGTAAAGGCAGATACGTGTTTGGGTAAAGGCAGATACGTATTTGGGCAAAGGCAGATACGTATTTGGGCAAAGGCAGATACGTATTTTAGTAAAGGCAGATACGTATTTGGGCAAAGGCAGATACATATTTGGGCAAAGGCAGATATGTATTTGGGAAAAGGCAGATACCCATTTGGGTTAAAGGCAGATACGTATTTGGGTAAAGGCAGATATGTATCTGACTTATGTCTTAGTAGATACAATGTCTGTCAGATGAAATTGACAATTTTTAAAAGTGAAGCTGCTGATCATCAAAGACTTCCAAAACTAAGAACAAATTACATGTAGTTATAAATGGACAACTTCTTTGTTACTCGGTCAAGGAGAAATTACTGGTAAATGTATTTGACCTAAGAGGACAGCCTTGTGTCATTCCCTCTCCAATATCACTAATATACACAAATTAACATTACACAAGAGGGCAGCCCTGTCCAACTCCCTCTCCAATTTAATAATCAGAGTCATGTGTGTCTCATTATATAAATACACAAAGCCATATCCCTTAATGTATCCTGGCTCTAGAACCAACAAACAGACAGTTTCAGAACTATATCTATTTGGTACAAGGCCAGGGAGGATCTTTACGTTTCAAATAGAAAAATACATTAGAAATTTTATATCTAATATTCTTTCTGTGAAATTCATGTTTCTGTAATGACTAGATTGCTTAATCAGAACTGGATATTTAATTGTCATGAAATTTTGTTGAAGATAGTTTCATAAATATGTATAATACCAGCAGATTATTTTTCTCCGAGTGTTTTCGTTGCAATCACATATACGCTCAGTGTCTACAGTATAAAACATAGATTTAAATAAAACATTACTAATGTTTTAATCACCATCTTCCACAACACAATTTGGGACAATTTTGTCCCTTGTAATGGGCTTTCGGCATCCATCGGCAGAAGGGATTATTGAGACACCTAGATTTGCTAAACCACTTTCAATCTAATTTTGGTTTCGTTTTGTGTTCTATTTATCTAAAGCAGTTTATGTAATATTTGTGTCTTTATAAAGGGACAAAATGCCTTGAAAATTATATATATATCTTTACAACGTAATTAACATTTGTCACACATTCTCCTTCATCCTAGACACAACCTGTCAATACAATTTAATCAATCCCCTTAAACATCCTTATATGATCAACAGGACTTGAGTAAGTCTATTGGAATTCTCACACAAGATGAGCACTACAGAATAAATAAGGATAAAATCTAAACAAACACTACCAGCTAACTAAACCAGTCAGTCAATGTGTCCCTGTTTACATTTTATTCATCCTAAAGGATTTGCTTGCTGCAGGCTTGACAACAATTACTGGCCATTTAAATACATGCACAGATTTTGGCATATATATGTAGGCCTAAACACAGAACGCACTTCTGGAAATTTCACATAAAAACTTAAAACTTGTGTAAGGGAAAATTCACCATTTCTTAATACTATAATACATGAGGTTTTTTATGCCATATATATTCAACAATAAGCCCATGCCTGGTATTAAGCCCACCCAAATTTGTTTCTATTCAGTACTGATGACCATTGTCCTGAAATAAGCTTGACCAATGATTAATAAATTGCACGAGTCAGAGATGATATTGAGTCAACTAGCTAGGCTGATTGCAGCATAAACACAGTAACATCCAGGTTTCAACACATCAACACGGACTAGTGAATAGAATTTTGTCCTCAATTTTAAAGTCCACTTCTATCTTTATTTGAGATCAGAAACTTCATTTAAATGTCTCCAGGAATGTTTCGTTTTTCCGACTTCTGTCAAGCCTTAAAGTTTTATTGACCCCCTCCATTTAGAACATCAATAAAAATGACAACAATTTTTCAACAACATCTATAAAATAAATAAATAAATAAATAAAGGATTATATTTCCCAAAGCATTGTGTATATTTTCAAAATATTATATATATTTCTGTAAAAAATTTGCAGATGTGGTGCTTTTTCTTGAAACCTCCCAAATCCACCCCCACAAATAGTCTGACTGTGGTTTTATACTGAGTGTATCACAGAGTGACTGTCGTCCAAATTGGGGAAAAATTATGTTTGTAACAATGTCTAATGATGCAATTTACATACATCAACCGACCAAATACATATACACATACAACACTGCTTACTGGTATAAGAGCTAACGTATATGTTATACATAGTTTAGTATCACACGTAAGATCAACCAAATTTTGGCTTCAAATATCATATTTTTAAGAGATAACGATTTTAACATGGCTTCGGTATAGAATGTGCAAAACAAAGGTCACAGTTACCCCATGTGGCGCCCCAAAGAACTTTCCCTTTAACTTATCATGTGTATCACATACATACGGCATGTGTATTGCAAAGAGTTGTAAATTACAGAACCTGAAATGTCGGTTTCCACTAATAAAACAGTGGAAAATGAGAAAACGGCAAATCTGTGAATGTCGAGCACCATATACAGAATATTACATATATTCTGTTAATATCTACCAAAAAATATGAAAAAATGAGAATAGAACTTTCCAAACTTTTGCAACCTAGTCAACTTATATAGAAATACATTCCATGGTGAACTTTAACATCAAGTTTTCTGAAAATGAATTTACGTGTTTTCAACTTAAAATTATCGATTTCCGCGCAAACATAGACGACCTTGCATGGCGGAATGCTGTTTGCCGGTGTTACACCTGAAAGATTTCCAGCGCACACCTTTGCAAATGTTGACAGATGACAAACCTACCTCATCTTCGGTTGACTCGACAATCATGTCTTCCGTCTCCATGACCGGTCGAGCATCGTCCTGCTCTGGAATAGCTTCCATAATTTTGGCCCCCTTCGCTGTCGAAAACTCGAAATTATTTAGAACACCAGAAGTCTACAAAGTTTAAAAGCGCTACACCTTTACACCATACCCCGCGACACTGCGCCCATAAAGTTATGGCGGTTGTAGTAGTGCTGTGTGTATGTGTGTGGTTCAGATCAACGCACAGGTGAGTCAGACTTTTCGGTGAAAAGGGAGATAACCCATTATTGTTACCTGTCGAGTTCATTATCACGGTTGATGGAACTCTGTATTGAGAACTGTTATTTCCCGCGAGCGACATTATTACGTAACAGGGCAAGGTGTCCTTACATTGTAATTCTCAATAGATAACAAAAAGGTTACTGTAGGGACATGTATTCGTCCCACAGGTAGCAGTCAATTTATCTCTGTGTGGATATATAGAAAGTCATTAATAGTAACCAAACCCACGAGAAAATAACTTGTGGCTAATCCCTGTGATATTAACACAATGCAATTCATATACATATATATATTCAAGATATATATATATATACATGTATCATAAAGATATATCGGTACGTAGTTACCCTCAAATAGTAAGGATTTGTCGAGCGCTATCTATCTCATTAGGTATTCAATCCCGTGATTCCACCGAATCTTTTCTCAAATTGGCGCAAAGTATTTGTTCACACGAAAGGAGAAATCAGAAAATGATACTGGCCTGTAGGCATAGTTATATATTCTTGTAAATGGTTATTAACACGAAAGTCTGACTAATATATTACTAGCAAGTTTCAATACAGAGTTCCAAGTTGTTGTATTTTTTCATATAATTCATCAAAATCTACTTGCATAATTCAATATCACAAATTGCATACCATACCAGACGTGCAACCATACATACATATATAGCCTGTATGTAATGAATCAAGAGGCCCAGAGGGCCTGTATCGATCACCTGGATATTTATGACCAACAGTACTATATCTGTGCATATGTTCCATGTTTAACACATTTGACCCATGTGACCTTGACTATGACCCATAGTCAAGGTCATTTCTTTTTGCATACTTTCTTGGACTTCATAAAAGGAACATGCTGCCCAAATATAATTATTCTAAGCTTTTCGATATTTCCGAAGAAATTGTTTAAAGTTTTGACACATTTGATCCCTGTGACCTTGAAGATTGGTCAAGGTCATAGCCTTTAGCAAGCAAACTTTGTAGGGAACCATAAGAGGAACATAGTAGCCTAATATAATGATTCTAGGCCTTCCGGTATTTTGGAAGGAGTCGCTTAAATGTTTTAACACATTTGACCTCTGTGACCTTGAATATGGGTCAAGGTTATTTCTTTTTGCAAACTTTGTTGGGCTTCATCAAAGGAACCTTCCAGCTATATATAATGATTCTAGGCCTTCCGGTATTTCAGAAGGAGTTGTTTAGATGAAAAGTTGACGGACGCAGGACGGACGGACGACGGACGCCGCAATATGTAATAACCTCACTTGGCCCTTTGGGCCAGGTGAGCTAAAAACGGCCTAAGTTATCAAAATATCGGCAACAAGACGAAGCCGCGCAGTGTGCGTCAAAATTTGTATTAAACTCCTAATGATATATACAAGAGCATCTTTTGACTTTGTTAATTTATTGTCTCCTGTTCGTTTTTCTGCGTTTAGCTCCATATTGAGCTTAATTTTTCTCCAAGTACGAAACCTATATATACCAAAGCACATTTCAGATCATGATCAAGACGATTTTCACCAACAGGTTACAGTTAATTGGTCGATGCATTGAGCCACATTAAAATTATACGTACAAGTACATATTTGGGTAATCCTGCCGATACGGAGAAACGTGCACATGCGAGACATATGATAACGTGTAGTATCTGTTATCATTGAAAACTATCGTATACTCTGACTAGGGACGAGCATTGCATACGGGAAATGACAATCTCGTGGAGTGTGGGTGTGTAGCGTACCTCTATTGTTTAGTTCTTCCGTGTTTAAACAAAATACGGAGGAACTGAGTGCACATACATGTATGTAAAAACACCCATGTAACGACACTTGCAATGTCTTCAATCCTGATCAATTCGTAAGTTAAATGGCCCTGGGTTGTGTGCTTTTCCCCCACAAAAGCATTATACACTTTCCATCTATACGTGAAAGAAATGGACTTGTTTTTGAACGTGAAGGTCACAATTTCAAAAGTTTTTTCAATCACAGTCTTTCAACGTACAGGTGAAATAATGTTGTTCTTGTGGTGTTTTCTTAATTCAATGAAACTTTCCCGACTAAGACTCACCCAGCCAGACTATTCAACACGACGCCACTCAGTGAAGAAAAACTATCGCCAGTCTGACAGGACTAGATTTTCTGAAAGCCCGCGAATCATTAGATTTTGTGTTGGGTTCTAAATTGACTACCAATTTTACAAACTTTTTATTTCTTGTTGTTTCCCATCAGGAACCGAGGGATAGGTTTGCATTGTGTCTTTCCGTCCTTCCGTGTTTCCATCCATCCTTCCTTCCTTCCTTACGTCCTTATCTTCTCCGCGCAATATCTCTTATACTATTTATCACTGTTATTTCCTACCTACGGCATTGATTTTTCTAGGTACATTGATGAACCATGTATCAAAAGAAGGTGACTAACCTTTTGACCTTTGACCTATATCAAAGCAATTTCCGGATTCTCTCTACTACATTAATTACATGAACAATATAGTGGAGTGTCATGTACTAAAAGTAGGTCACTGCGTCCTACATTTAGACGTAATAAAAGAGAATGCTCCATTTCTAACAATACTTGGCGATGGATTTTTTTTTTTATGTTTGGAGCATGGATTTACTTTGACCTATATTTTGATCTTTGATCTACATCTAAGAAAAAACTTGTCCCAACTCCATCGTCTTGTATCAAAAGAATGTCACTCTGGCTACATTTTGACATTTGACCTCAACAAGGAATGGATGATACCATCCCGACTCAAGTTATAGACATTGCCATCTCGAACCGGTGATATCAATTATTCGTATGAAATTCTAATGACTCCTAGTAAAATTAGTTTTATTACTGGATTAATTCACATTTATTGCCTTAACAAGTGAGATGTTGTGGGTGGCATGGTATTATCGTATGCGATTTCACAGAAAATCGGCACCTCTTACCAGTTAACAACACACATTCTATTTCTTTTCGTACAAATATTTGGTGTCTAGTATTAGTTCCAGCACGAGCTCATCGTCTGTGAATTCTTAATATTCAATTTTGCATTCGATATGAGAAGGAATACAAATTTTGTCTTGTAATAAAAATTTGGCCGCTCACTGTTAAAATTTCATTTTGCATTAAGCTTTTCCACTTCAACACTTTTTATTTATTTATTTTTCACTGTACCCACCAACTAATTGTTAAAACATTTCTAAGATCTACGTCTAACTTAATAGATGCAATGTATGTTTTCCTCAGTGCAATGGGAAATTGAATTCCGACAAACCCGGTGAAGGACGGAGTCTTGAAATTTTAAGTAAGATACCTTACAGTACACACACATGAAGATTGACAAAACATTGCTGGCTATATCGACATACGTGGACGAGTTGTCTCCCTTTAGCAATAAAACTACGTAAAAGTATTGAATAAAATTCTACCAGCAGCAAAATTTCTGTCTGCTCTAGAGGGCTTCATAAAATCATCTAACTGTATTTTTTAATGAGGTATTGGTGCTCCAGTTATACACCACAATCACAACGGAGAATCATTCAAACTGAAATTTAAGCAAAGGCTACAGGATCAATTTATTAAAACTGGTATTATGATGTTGAAATCCCTCGAGGGAACAAACCTTTGTGTTATATATATCTCAGTTCAATTTTGAACCTTACCTAATAAAACTTGATAAAAATGAACAAATCCTTTATATAAATTGGGAACCGCAAGTTTAAAACTTCCTATAGAGACAGACAGATGAAATAACGTTCATCGCCAGAAAAGCTATGACCCGTGTGCACAAACTGTATTGGTGATGAATAGCACTATTTGTATAATCTGGTTTATATAATCAACTACTATTATGTAAAACCAGATTATATTGAATACTTAAAATATAAGAGACATTTTTTTACCACTAGCACTAATCTGTAATTAATGCATATGATTAATCTTAAATAAATGTTTTTCTTTATTTATTCTGTCCATTCTTATACATATATATCATCATTATCATACAAACGTACTGATATATCCCATATCTTCATTTTATAATAAGTATTATACAAATATACCTTACATTTTCCGTTCATAATACTATTCATCTGCTTTTTATTTTCATGATCTCGTGTTACACGCGGTTACGTGTGGCGTGAGTGAATGAATATTTTTAAAAAATCCTTGGCCACTCCTGTAAAGAACAAATACACCACTGCGAAAAGCTTTACTGATAATGAGGAGTGGCACATGTATGTTTATCTACAGTTTTAAAATCCGCAAACGATGTGAATAAGTATGTAATGTTGTTTTGTATAGTTGCATTGACAAGAGTTATGGGGAGTGACAAGAGTTATGGGGAGTGACAAGAGGTATGGGGAGTGACAAGAGGTAGGGGGAGTGACAAGAGATAGGGGAGTGACAAGAGGTATGGGGAGTGACAAGAGGTATGGGGAGTGACAAGAGGTATGGAGAGTGACAAGTTATTGGAGTGACAAGAGGTAAGGGGAGTGACAAGAGGTATGGGGAGTAACAAGAGTTATGGGGAGTAACAAGAGTTATGGGGAGTGACAAGAGGCATGGGGAGTGATAAGAGGTATGGGGAGTGACAAGAGGTATGGGGAGTGATAAGAGGTATGGGGAGTGGCAAGAGGTATGGGGAGTGATAAGAGGTATGGAGAGTGATAAGAGGTATGGGGAGTGACAAGAGGTATGGGGAGTGATAAGAGGTATGGGGAGTGGCAAGAGGTATGGGGAGTGACATGATGTATGGAGAGTGATAAGAGGTATGGGGAGTGACAAGAGGTATGGAGAGTGACAAGAGGTATGGGGAGTGACAAGAGGTATGGGGAGTGACAAGAGGTATGGGGAGTGACAAGAGGTATGGAGAGTGATAAGAGGTATGGGGAGTGACAAGAGGTATGGAGAGTGACAAGAGATAGGGGAGTGACAAGAGGTATGGGGAGTGACAAGAGGTATGGGGAGTGACAAGAGGTATGGAGAGTGACAAGTTATTGGAGTGACAAGAGGTAAGGGGAGTGACAAGAGGTATGGGGAGTAACAAGAGTTATGGGGAGTGACAAGAGGCATCGGGAGTGATAAGAGGTATGGGGAGTGACAAGAGGTATGGGGAGTGATAAGAGGTATGGGGAGTGGCAAGAGGTATGGGGAGTGACATGATGTATGGAGAGTGATAAGAGGTATGGGGAGTGACAAGAGGTATGGGGAGTGATAAGAGGTATGGGGAGTGGCAAGAGGTATGGGGAGTGACATGATGTATGGAGAGTGATAAGAGGTATGGGGAGTGACAAGAGGTATGGGGAGTGACAAGAGGTATGGAGAGTGACAAGAGGTATGGGGAGTGACAAGAGGTATGGGGAGTGACATGATGTATGGAGAGTGACAAGAGGTATGGGGAGTGACAAGAGGTATGGGGAGTGATAAGAGGTATGGGGAGTGGCAAGAGGTATGGGGAGTGACATGATGTATGGAGAGTGATAAGAGGTATGGGGAGTGACAAGAGGTATGGGGAGTGATAAGAGGTATGGGGAGTGGCAAGAGGTATGGGGAGTGACATGATGTATGGAGAGTGATAAGAGGTATGGGGAGTGACAAGAGGTATGGAGAGTGACAAGAGGTATGGGGAGTGACAAGAGGTATGGGGAGTGACAAGAGGTATGGAGAGTGATAAGAGGTATGGGGAGTGACAAGAGGTATGGAGAGTGACAAGAGGTATGGGGAGTGACATGATGTATGGAGAGTGACAAGAGGTAGGGGAGTGACAAGAGGTATGGGGAGTGACAAGAGGTATGGGGAGTGACATGATGTATGGAGAGTGACAAGAGGTATGGAGAGTGACAAAAGGTATGAAGAGTGACAAGAGGTATGGGGGAGATAATTTAGTTATTTCTATGCTTTTTGCAATCCAGAGATTTTAAATGTACAAACGAATTTCAGAAATTTTTCAGAGGGCGAGTTGTTTGATCAAGTCTCGCAAAGTATCATTGGAATAACTGATCAGACTTAAGCGTTTTATTCATTGATATTTTTCTTCAAATTGGTCCTTCTACATTTCCTCGTCATCATGACTGAGGATGTTGGTGTACACCAATCCACAAAGTAGCTTTAAGTTACCCCGTACCCACCTTGTGCTGATATATCCCTTAAATCTCCTTCGTTGACACAGCTAGAAAGGTGTATATTGGGTCTCTTACCATGAAAGCACGTGACACTACTGTGTTTAGTGTTATTTACTTGTACACATGATTCCGCAACTAAATAGGCTAAGGGAGTGGACCGAGATGATTTTATTAATGAACCAAGATGTTTAATCATAATTTGTGGCATGAAAACGGAGAAAAAAACGGAATCTCATAATTCAGTTATATTTTCGAGAAGAAATACGGACATATTTTATCCAAATTAGTGATATAATGTAGCATCTCATACTTAAATACTGAAAATAAAATAAAATATTTTAATTGCTTGTTACAGAAGGAGTGAACAATTAGTCATTATGATATATATACATTTAATATGTCATGCATCTTAATATTATTCTTTTTTAAATCAGACACCAACGTAGAAGTTGTTTTGTATATATTTAGACCGTAGCACATTTGAATACAAAAATTATAGTTCGAAATACGTTGTTCTTCATCAGTGCTCAGAGACTGAATTCAACGCTACCAGGCTAAACAATTGAAAAAAACTTGTATCTCGTCTCCTGTTTTGAGGTTGGCAATTCGGATATATTTACATCGATCGCTGTCTGAAAATTCTGGCAATTTTTATTAAACTAGATACTGTATTCATAATTTTATCGTCAGAATTATCTAATTCCTCAAAACTTTCAAATATTGCGGAAACATAGCTTATATTTTATGACAGTGGTCATATTGTTTAATAATAACTTTATATTATTTTATTTCCCTAAAAAATTTTTTCATGTTTATTCGAACTTTCGGACCAGTAAGTCATCAGCTACTGACTCAACATGCAGTCTAAAACTGCATCATATCACGGATTTAGATATATAAGCCCTTTATCTAATGTATGAGGAGTGAAATCATACGAGGTTGCTTCGGTAGGAAGTGCATGAGTTATCGTTCTTCCAGTCGTATTTGTAACCCTGTAGAGGGCAGTAATGTTCACAACAATGGCAGGTGCTGTTAGACAGTAGACGATCAGGAGGGTGAACTGAAGACGACAGTGACATGGATAGACTAAGCATAATTTCTGGGGCTCTGTTTTTTACAGCAGATGTCTTCGCTGTTATAAGCCTTGCATTGCCGAACTGGATTGTGTCAGATATTGGCGGTAAGTCCACCTATGCAGCCATCTCTTGCGACATCGTGATCTTCGTCTAGAATAGATGCATTCTAAATGATCTGCGAAGACATAACAGTTCCATAGACTGGTCTGCCAATTTTTAGGCTACATAATAACATTGCTCGGAAACATGGCTCTGCTCTGCTCTGTCAAGTCCATTTCGCCATTTTAAACTTTCAATTATAATAATTTCACACCATCTCTCCTTTCTCCTCTACTCCCATTGTATTGATCAAATTGTTGAGCTTAATTGGTCAGAATATTTCATAAGTCCAGAAGTCCAGCTGTCCAGTACAGAAATTCCTTTTAACTGACTAAGTATTCCAATGTGTCTTGGTACTTAGACGAGATAATTTATCGTGATATACCATTAATATTTATCTTTATTTGTTGAATATAAGCTTGGACTTGGATATGTGTCGAAGTCCATAATATAGGGAATAATGATAGCTTAATAATGATTAGAATTATTCTCTCAGTTCCGCTGTCACGTGACCCAATATTTGCATAACATTGCAATCGCAAATAATAATCTTATCACTTTTGTATATTGTAGGCCGGACGTATATCGGTTTGATGGAGTCTTGTCTGAGTAACTATAATCAACCTCAGACATGTTTCACAACAAGTCCTTTGAGACTTGAATGGCTGCTGACGTTTGTGTGCATTATCCTGGGCATACATTGTATAACAGCTACCATCATTCTGCTGATCATGTCACACTGGAAATATCGAATCATGAAACATGCTCGATGGCTGGGATTTATAGCAAGTATGTTCAACATTACAATTTTTTGGTAGTCGGAATTATTCTGACATGGGCCTCAAAAGCTCAGTCGATAAACTTTCATGACCTGAGCTGATGATCCACAATGCATGATTCAACACTCCCTACCCATGATGGTTTGTGTTTCTCAGGAAGCTGAGTAACAGACTAATTTATGCTGACATGGGTGTGTCCTTGAGCAAGACACTATCCTATAAATACTGTAGATGGCATGCAGCAAGTCTCCTGTTGTTCATTTAGGTAGCCACCTGCTGCAAGGACACTGCATTTGAAAATGACTTGGGACTGTTCACAGGGTGATAAACCCTGCATACAAACTAACAAACTGACTGACATGAGCTCATCAACACCAGACTGTCAGTGATATATATAATCATGATACATATTTATTAAGATTCTGTCAGCAGAACATATAATAATGAAGACTTTTTCAATATTTCAGTACAGTTATACTTGACAGTATTCAACTTTAACACCTGTTATATACAAAAGTGGTAAATATAAAGACACTTGATCATTTAATTAAAAGAAATTACCAATAATTTCACAAACATGAAAATGTGGATGGGTTATATTACATTGGAAATGTATCAGAATTTACATGTTGCTCTTGGTGATAAGTTTTTTTTTTTTGTTTCAGTGGTTCTTTTCTGTAAAGCTGCAGTGATTTTCCCCATTGGTTTCAACATGGAACAGATTGGAGGAAAGGCTTACCAGCTCCCAAACAATTACCAAGTGGGAATCTCTTACATATTCTTCGTACTAGCACTTTGGATAACAGTTGTCTCTGAACTCTTTGCTAGCAAAGTTTGTCTGCCTCATTTTTAAGTTTAAGTTGTAGTTATTTTATCTTTTGCGCTGTCAACATCTGAAATGTTTATGATAGTATATTTTTGTTGTGATCACAAAGGCCAAGTACAAAAATTGTCAGTTTCCTTAAATGTTTATTTTCATTACAGAATTTTTATTTCTAAAAAATACTTTAAGCTAGGAATTGTAAGAAAAAAAACCTGAAGTATAAATATATTATATTTGAAATAGACTTTTTAAATACAAATATATCTGAAAAAAATGCATTTCAAAAGTATATTGATGCATGGAATGAATTTATAATCCCAGTTTTACTTACAAGGATGGTACATGTAGATTACAGTGAACTCTGCGATGTTGACGTGTGAGATTATATATTCTTACATTAGATATATACTTATTTAATATACATTTTATAAGGATATGAAAGAAATTGGGATCTTCAGGTCAGCACATGTGAATATGTCTGTCGAATTTAACTCCCTGTGCTTTTATCATTAAATGAGGAAAAATCCTGAGACTTTCAAAGAGAATTACGTAAAACTTAGTGAAGACTGTTGTGATCTTTCAAACATTTTATTTCTTATTTTTTTTTTTTTTTAATTTTTTATAGAAAATTGTTAGTTGTAATCTTCCTTTCACAGAGGAAAAAAATCTACTTTTGTCTTAAGTATATATTAGGCAACACATTTTGTATGTTCTGAAGGTTTTCTTAGTACAGTATATAGATCTGTATGATATGATGTAAAGATAGTAATTTCATGTATTTATCAATATCAGACAATAATTTTATATTAACTTTTAAGAAACGATATTACAATGTAATGCAATAAAGGGAGATAACATATTATTCTCATTTAAGGTGTAATGACACCTATTTTGTTGTTAGTTAGTTTAGAAAATTAATGTGTACATTGTACTTAATCAGCATTTAATGCTGGTTTGAATATCTTAAGAATCATGTCCCTCTTTATAAAGCAATTTGTGACTAATTTTTGTAATTATCTCCCCTTATGTACTTAATTGTTTTATATCAAAATGTGATACTCATAGCCAAAACGTTGAAATAAAGCTATAGTCTTGAAATTGTTGTAAGGGCTGGAAATGTTGACTTACTCATTTCAATGATGTTATAATTTGTAAACTTGTTAACATACAGAACTAGTGCTGTTTGGATTATCAGTTTTTAATAGAAAACACTGGCTTTTTTATCGATAGGTATATGTTGAAGAGTTGTATCCCTTTCATTACTTATTTTAGATCATGCCAATATGATTAATTTGCAACTGTTTTATCAAGATATTTTTTTTTATTATTTTGCTTTTATATATCCATTGATATATTGTAATTACAAATAAATAAACAATGTTTTCTATTAAAGAAACATTTTCTCTCGTCATAAACAACTCTCTCCATAAAGGTTTTACAATGCTGGCTTTAAAAAGCTTGTTGGTATGTATTTTGTATTGTTTTTATTTTTGTTTTTGTATATTTATCCACACAATATGATACACATGAACTATTTACATTGCAGTTTGTGTAATGTGAGAGAGAAGTTTCATAGCTAACTATACTACTGTATACACAAATGTCTGTTTGCATATCAAACTTTCATTAGACAATTAATTATTTCATTATCTCACTCTGAATAATACATGCTTATCACTATGACTAATAATACTAACTATTTACATATGTAAAATGATAGATTTGGTGGAAATTTGCTCCATTAGAAAACTCTTATCAAATGGGTTACTATACAAAGCAGTGTGAGCAAAATGATCACCTGATCTATCAGGTAAAAACATGAAAAAATGAAAATATTCTTTTAAGCTTGGAAAATCTCTACAATCATTTTTTTTCAGATAATGTTAACTAAACCCCCTTTTTTTAAAGCAAAACCATCAAAAAATTATTTCTTCCAAAGAAAAATGACACAAGTTAGTATGTTATAGATGTGTATATATATGATGTATATACAGGTATGTGTATTAGTTGTCAGCAATATTTGTGTTGTTTTCCTAGTGCGTCCCAAATATGTAAATATAATGGTCACGTACACAAGCCACAGTTTTATTTACAGCATTAGCACTCATTGTTATTGATGTTATATTCAAAAACAATTTGTTACGATTATTTTGTTATTGTGAACTTCTAGTCCATAACTGTATGTGTATGGTACATACATTAACAATTAAAAATCTTCTTTTTTTTTTTAAGAAAAAAAATCATTGTTTTTGTTGTTATTTAGAAGTTATACTGTTCTACATATGTCTGCCTTGTCAACATTTTCTTGGCAAAGAACTTCAGGTTCTGAAAAGAATTAATAAAGATATCTGTCATGGACAATAGAACAATATTTATTTTTGTCATTCAAAAGCTCAATACTAACAACAAGTGAATCATATCGTTTATGAGTCTGAGAAAGTAATTTCTATAAAAGATTGTCCCATCAACACCAATGAATGACCAAGCACAATGTTACGTTTACAGTGTCTAGCCTTCACAATAATTTCAATATTGTGTTGAGGCTGTGTACATTCTCCTGATCAAATATCTCTTACATGTAACACGAGTTTCAAGGTGAAGTTGCAAGGTTGAACACTTGAGACACTATTTTTTAGTAATTTTCATATATAACGATTTCTATGAAATTATTTCATAGTCAATGTTTAAAAAATAATGTCAAAAGTCCAGTTTGTTGTCAATTGCCTTGATATTTACTGCTCTTAGTGGACAACGTTTGAAAGACAGACAATAACTGCCTGCAGACTTTTTAGTCCCTGAGATTTCCCTTTCCCTGCAGGTCACATTTTAGTTCATCCAAATGGTGGCATGGTTCAGAATATACATCTACTCTTGACCTTCTTTTGAGATTAACAGATCTATAAAATTACAAGATAGATTAAATCATAAGGCTTTTCCCCATCCAGATTTTCTTTCAGTCAGTTTTGGTTTCCCTCAGCCGCCTCTTGGGTTTCAAAATATAGGCACCACTGATGAGTCCTAAAAGGGGGAAACAAACTGATTGAGTTTATTTGTCTTTATCTAATTCTATGGTTGTGTCTGGTGCAAAAGCATCTTTTGGTGAAGGGGAATCAATTTTCGATAAATTGTGGATCTCGAGGACCCCTGGGGCATAATATTGGAAATAGAGCAAATTCGTTAAAATCCTTCTCTTCCTGTAGGAATGATTGGCTTTTGTCCAAAGTTGGTTTAACATGTTTGTGTGAAAAGGAATCAATTTTGTATAAATGGTAGATCTCAACCCCTTGGGACGGAAGAGGCGGGACCCAATAGGGGAAATAGAGCAGATTCTTTTAAAGCTCTCTAGTAGGAATGATTGGAATTGGTCCTTATTTGTTATGAAGCGTGTTTTGGTGAAGAGCAATCAATATTGTATAAACAGTGGACCTTTTCCCCGTGATGGCCGGGGCAACTCACTTGTCTATTTTGACTTTATGAAACCTGCCTGCATAGAGCGACTTTAAAAATCCTCCCTGTTTATACTGACTATATAGATCCTCCCTGTTTACAGCCACTTTTTAAAGCGTCCCTGTCTATAGCGACTTTATAAAACATATCTGTCTATAGTGACCTTTTAAAACGTCCCTGTCTATAGTGATTTTATAAAACGCCCGTCTAAAGTGACCTTATAAAACGTCCTCGTCTAAATCTACTTTCAAAACGTCCCTGTATATAGCGACGTTTATAAAACGTACCCTTCTAGAGTGACTTTATAAACAGTCTTTGAATATAGCGACTTTATAAAACGTCTCTATCTATAGTGTCCATTTAAAACGTCCGTCTATAGTGACTTTATAAAACGTCCCTGTCTATAGTGAGCTTATAAAACGTACCTGTCTATAGCGACTTTATAAAACAACTGTCTATAGTGACCTTAGAAAACGTCCCTGTCTATAGTGACTTTATAAACGCCCCTGTCTAAAGTGACCTTACAAAACGTCCCTGTCTATAGCGACTGTATAAAACGTCACTGTCTATAGCGACTGTATAAAACGTCCCTGTCTATAGCGACTATATAAAACGTCCCTGTCTATAGCGATTATATAAAACGTCCCTGTCTATAGCGACTATATAAAACGTTCCTGTCTATAGCGACTATATAAAACGTCCCTGTCTATAGTGTCCATTTTAAAACGTCCCTGTTTATAGCGATTATATAAAACGTCCCTGTCTATAGCGACTATATAAAACGTTCCTGTCTATAGCGACTATATAAAACGTCCCTGTCTATTGCGACTTTATAAAACGTCCCTGTCTATAGCGACTATATAAAACGTCCCTGCCTATAGCGACTATATAAAACGTCCCTGTCTATAGCGACTATATAAAACGTCCCTGCCTATACCGACTCTATAAAACGTCCCTGTCTATAGCGACTGTATAAAACGTCCCTGTCTATAGCGACTATATAAAACGTTCCTGTCTATAGCGACTATATAAAACGTCCCTGTCTATAGAGACTATATAAAACGTCCCTGCCTATAGCGACTCTATAAAACGTCCCTGTCTATAGCGACTATATAAAACGTCCCTGCCTATAGCGACTATATAAAACGTCCCTGTCTATAGCGACTATATAAAACGTCCCTGCCTATAGCGACTATATAAAACGTCGCTGTCTATAGCGACTATATAAAACGTCCCTGTCTATAGCGACTCTATAAAACGTCCCTGTCTATAGCGACTATATAAAACGTCCCTGTCTATAGCGACTATATAAAACGTTCCTGTCTATAGCGACTATATAAAACGTTCCTGTCTATAGCGACTATATAAAACGTCCCTGTCTATAGCGATTATATAAAACGTCCCTGTCTATAGCGATTATATAAAACGTCCCTGTCTATAGCGACTATATAAAACGTTCCTGTCTATAGCGACTATATAAAACGTCCCTGTCTATTGCGACTTTATAAAACGTCCCTGTCTATTGCGACGTTTATAAAACGTCCCTGTCTATAGCGACAATTATTAAACGTCCCTGCCTTTAGTGATTTTATAAAACATCCCTGTCTATAGCGACAATTATTAAACGTCCCTGCCTTTAGTGATTTTATAAAACATCCCTGTCTATAGCGACTGTATAAAACGTCCCTGTCTATAGCGACTATATAAAACGTCCCTGTCTATAGCGATTATATAAAACGTCCCTGTCTATTGCGACTATATAAAACGTCCCTGTCAATAGCGACTTTATGAAGCGTCCCTGTCCATAGCGATTTTATAAAACGTCCCTGTCTATAGCGACTGTATAAAACGTCCCTGTCTATAGCGACTGTATAAAACGTCACTGTCTATAGCGACTGTATAAAACGTCACTGTCTATAGCGACTGTATAAAACGTCCCTGCCTATAGCGACTATATAAAACGTCCCTGTCTATAGCGATTATATAAAACGTCCCTGTCTATAGCGATTATATAAAACGTCCCTGTCTATAGCGACTATATAAAACGTTCCTGTCTATAGCGACTATATAAAACGTCCCTGTCTATAGCGACTATATAAAACGTCCCTGTCTATAGCGACTATATAAAACGTCCCTGCCTATAGCGACTATATAAAACGTCCCTGCCTATAGCGACTCTATAAAACGTCCCTGTCTATAGCGACTATATGAAACGTCCCTGTCTATAGCGACTATATAAACATCCCTGTCTATAACGAATTTGGTTGAATTTATATTTTACATAAATGTTGAATCATGTAAACAATATACACACATATACAATTCCTATCCTTCGATCCCTTGATATAATTGTAAAAAAAAACTAGTGATCCATGATAACAATAGTATCGGACCTAAATAAATAGCGCGATAGTATAGAGTATTTTTTAGTATAGTCTAAGTATTGTTTTATCGCTTCGTCTGAAATGTTAACATGTATAACTTTAGGCTAATAGATGTAGAATTCGATAACAATATATACAATACTAGGTAATGACATACCAAGATTCACAGGCTATGTCTGCTCATTGTTTTCATGCTCTAATTCAAACTGCGTAGAAAATTTAGGAAAGGGCCTTGGAATACAACGACCCTAGTTACGAAATGTTTACCATGTTACTTTTTTTTAGAAATAACGATAACAATTTATCTATCGAAATCCACGAACGACACTTGTCGACAAATGGTCTTTTAGATTCCACAGTTTCAATCATGCAAGACTAAAAATCAAACAAAGTCTTCCCATTCTCTCAGGAAATAGTGATGCGAACTGTTAAAGGACAGATGGACGACGGACTAAGTGCTATTTGATCAGCGAAGATTAAATGTCTCATCCTGTGATATAAAATATCGTGTCCTAAATATTACAATGTAGCTAAGAATATATATCTTTAGTCGTCAGAAAATGTATTTATTTATTTATTTATTTATTTATTTATTTATCTATCTATTTTTATTTTATTCTATTTTATTTTATTCATTTCAATGTTTGACTTGCAGGATTAGTGGTACAAGATCGAAATATTTTCCACGTTACAGTACATATCAAAATCAATTGGACATTCCTTAAAAAAATGATTCAAATAAACAATCCTTGACAAGAATCTGATAACCGTGGATTTGAGCACGAATATTCTAAGATATTAATTTTCAGAAATTATATTAAACAATATCATGATTAGATATACCAACTTGCAGCATCCATATTGTCGACTTGATAACTGTAACAAATATAGTATACCATTGAGTTCCTGAAACAACATATCATAAAAACAAGTGTTTTCTTCAAAAGAAATATTTGCATTGAGATGAGCATCGCAATAAATCATGTTCGTGAAGGACGAAGGATTAATGAGGCAGTTAAAGACTTATAATTAGCTGTCACCGCCTTGATAAACAATGACCTTAAAAATTGCTTGAATGAAACATTAGTTGTCTTTTTATCCATCTAATAAACGTTTTTACGTTTTATTTCTACAAGTCTTTAATGTCAACTGTACTGTATAGGTAAATAAGACATCACATTTCCGCTATAGGTCTAATTAGTTTTTAATTAACCTTTGACATAAAAGGGGCTCATACTTCCCCATTTGGAGTCCATAAATTGCCTTGTTTTGTCTGTTTAATTTACATATGTGGTGTAAAAAAGGTATGTCAGAACTAATTAAGATTGAAATGTTATGGGCACATTAACACGTTGTGTGATAAGTAAGGGCACAGGTCATGAGTTTGATATCAGGGGTTACTATAAAAGGGGCCGAATCCCTCACGACAAACTAAGCCAGCCGCGGAATCCGAAACTCTCCAGGGACAGAGGTAAGTGTCTTACATATTGTACTTTTATCAATGGTAACACTTTCATTTATATATGTATCTGAAATTTTATCGTAGAAGTTTGAAAAATCTCATTTCAGATTTTTTTTTTTTTTAGCATTTTTTTTTTATCGTTCATTATATTAGAAATCTATATGTATGCAGGTTTCTAATTTTAGATTTAATCAAACTTATACAACTCTAAACAGTATATCTTTATCAAAGTTTGAAAAAAAGTTTTAACAGTTGAATTTAGAGTTTCATTCGTTTGGTAGTTAAAATTTTTATGTAGACCTAATCTCACTTGTAACAAAATTTTATCAAATCCAGCAACTTATTTTTGTTGTGATTTTTCTGTGTAGATTCTTTTTTTATGTTAGTATGTCTACTTCATTTGATGTATTTTTTCATTGGTATAATGTAATTGTAGATGTATAGCTTTAATACGTTGTAATAACTCAAATAATTTCTTCTTATTCATATTGGCAACAAAATATATGTAAAGCACAGTAGCATTTATATAGAACCATGCACAGAATTCAACAGATATTTGGACAAAACCTTAAAGCTTTTTTTTTTCAAATGAGTTTAAACAAATATTTAAACGTGACTGTTAAGAAACTTATTTTACAGGTAATATATAGTTATAGTTAAGACCTATAAAGAAAAACAGACAAAGAAATTGAAGAAAAACTTTCATATTTATCAATTATGGACCCTTGATGAGGTTAGTAAAGGGTTATATCAACCCGGTTGATAAAAAAATATTGACCGAGGACGAAACACGAGTTCAACTACACTATGTACATTGTATATACCCTTTTCTACCAGATCGGCATCGAACCGTACTGATCGAAATCAAAGATCCTTAAATATTATATTATAAATTTTATTTTAAAAGAACTCATTGTTTTAAACCTGTTCTCAAGAACAGTATATTTGAGGGTTCATATTCGGCCGTAATTTAAAAACATCGAGTTCTTAGGGTGTGTGGTAGACATGCGCGTGACGATTTCTTGTCAGAAGAGTGGGGAAATTTGACATATGCAATATGAATGAATGCGTTAATAAAATGAATTCTCTGGTCGAATCTCGAAAAATAATATTTTGAGTTATCGCTCATGACTTTCGTTTTTAAGAAGATATATAAGATATTCAGTATAAAACTTTTGGTGTATTACAGTAGGGCCAACTCCACTGAAACCTAATATATGCAGGATGGTAGTTCTGATGCCTGCAAATGGCAAAGATATACAAATATTCTTATAAAGGTTTATGCAAATAAGGTAGAAAAAAATGAATTTGTTCTATCGAGAATAACATCCACTCGTGAATAAAAATAATAAATGAAACTACGCATTAAGATATCAACAATATTCACCGAAAAATAACTATCATTATATCGGGCTAAATCAATGGTCTTTCAGTAAGTTTTGGATGGGTCACTAAATCATTGAACCGTTTAAAGTTGGCATGGTGTGTTTATGAATGTCACTAGGATAAAGGAATTTGTATCCTGTTTGTATTAATTATTCCTACGAAAACCAATACACCTGTTTAATGTTTAGATTTATCATTTCAATTTTCATATTGTTATAAGGGTAGATAACATCAATATGTTTACAATAATTGCAATATACCTACGCCTTTGACAAATGACTATAGTTATCTCCCTTCGCTTGAAGCACACGGTTCTTCTCCTGTGTAATGTGGAGGCGGGGTTCTATTTTTCATTGCTTTATGATCGGTTATATTTGTCGACTACTAGTTTCAAAGCTCCCTGGCTTCGAAATTTAGGCCCTTAACATCACTGATGAGTCCTAGCAGGACGAAATAACAATATGATGCAGTTTAATTCGTTTTTGGCTCAACCGTGTCTAACTCTAAATGTTTGTCTTTTGTACAATCTTCAAAGTCAAAGAGAAATCTTTGTGTATGTGTACGCATTTCACTAAGTTAACTCTTCTTCAAGTGTATTATGTCTTTTTTCATCATAATGTTATATATTTCTTTAATCAACCTCATACAAGGTTAATATATGTTTTCATTTGCAGCTAGACGACGATACAACAATGATTAGACAACTTGCAGTGTTAGCGTGCCTTATGGCACTAACACTAGCTGATTCCGACAAGGGAAGCTACATCAAGGGATCCAAAGGAAACATGGGAGGCTGGTACGGAAGCGGAAACTGGGGACCAGGATCAATGTTTGGAAACGGATACGGTGGTCCAGGAAACTGGAATGGATACGGGCCCGGGGCATGGGGCGGAAATGGATGGGGAAGGCCAATGGGCGGATACGGATGGGGAAAATCATTCGGTGGATACGGCAGACCTGGTTACGGAAATTTCGGATATGGTGGTCCAGGAGGTTGGAACGGATTCGGATCAGGAGGATGGAATATGCCATGGGGCGGAAACGGATTTGGTAGACCAATGTTCGGAAACGGATACGGCAGACCTTGGTACGGAAACGGATACGGCAACATGTGGAACGGAAACGGCAACGGATACGGTAGACCATGGTACGGAAATGGTGGATACGGACCCTGGGGTGGATACGGATCATGGAACAATGGTAAAGGATACTCAAAAGGATTAGGAGGATACGGAAGCTTCGGCAATAACGGATATTTCCCCGGTGGATTTGGTGGAAACTCCTGGGGCAATGGTAGATTTGGTAACAATTTCTATGGACCAGGATACTTTGGCAACTTCGGACCAGGATTTGGAAATTTCGGATTCGGAGGACGAGGATATAATGGATTTAACGGATACAACGGATATGGAAATGGCAACAGATGGGGAGGAAATTGGAACAGCATGTACAGAAATGGATTTGGAAAATCAAGCAGCAAGGTAAGGGTGTCATGATAACATTTTCACGGGAAGTTTTTCTTTGTTTTTTAATTTTTTAATCCAAAGTTGAAAGTTAAAAAATGAATTAATTGGTAAATATGCATCATTTTGGATTTGAAATTTAGTATTGTATATTTTGAAATTGTTTTGAAAATGGCAAAATATCTTTCATTTAAGTATACTGTAAACGTCAAAAAAAAATTCAAATACTAATAATTTAATAAATTTAAGTAATTAATTAATTAATTTCCTGAAAAATAAAATTGAACTCATGTCTAAAGTCAATCAAAGTCATGGGTCATCCCAATGATTATGTAGAAGTGTTGAATCGGTGCAATCCTGAGTTTTGTTTTGTTTTTTGTTTTTTGTAGAAGGGGTCTTATTAGAAGCCCGAAAGATGTCATGCATATCCACACCTCATTACTCGCACATCCCTTGGATGCTGTCCGGGGGGTTGGAGCTGGCTGTGTTGCCCGAAGTCCCGTGAAGGATGGGAGATCATCAGTCTGTGTTCACCCTGGACGGCGAATGTCTTTTATTGTTGTATATTGTTTAATAGTTGATTAAATTTATTTGCATGATTTCAACAATTACTTTGTTTTATTTGAAACCTATATATTTTTTATTTAAAAAAAATCGTTATTGCGTATGGCTGACCAGTACATCTTTCAAATGTACGGTTAAAACATTCTTTTGAAAATAGGAGGGTAAAACCGCTAAAATATTTACTACCATGAACCATCAGCAACTGAAAAGAAGGGGAGTAACTCTGTCAAACTTTAATGGAACTTCCTTGGCAGACCGGTTTTAGATGAAATCTGGTGCTCTCTTGAGATAATCTGATAAAATAAATTTGAAGAATGACGATGGTAATACATGCTGGACAATGTAAATACTTGCAGCATACATGTGCACCCACACATTTTTAATTGGTTAAAATCGATTTTCATAATCCGACATCTCTACACAACACATAATCCATTTTATCGCTTTCATCAATCATTGAAAAGACCACTATTAAATCTGAAGGACCTTCTGGAAATGAAAGCGAAAGTGTGTGATTGTGGACTGAATTAATTGGATTTTTTTTCATATAAAACCACTGATGAGCTTATCTTTGAAATATTAACCATCATCCATTATAAATTCTTAATTTGCTGTGTGTATCTCCCATTCAACGGCCAAGCCATTTTGATTCAAGTTCTCCACATTATACTATTCAAAGTATTTCTCATAACTTGTCTTGACAAACCACGACTACAGAGGGCGATCCGTGAGATCAGTTTTCTGGATGTAGGGATCGAACCTCGCACCTCGGATTATCACAAGAGTTTTCGGTGCTCTACTTAATGAGTTATCCATCAAGTGCCGTCATTCATCTTGAATTTAAACGAAAACACTTGGATAATGAAGACTCGTAGCGTAGTTACACTGATGAAATGAACGTAGCATTATAGATGTTTCGCTAATCTATTTTACGATAAACTGGTGCAGTAATAAAGGTGACGTCAAAGTGAAATTCTCATAGGTATTGAACAAAGGGCGGTAACCCTGTTAATATAGTGACGCCGGATTAAATATCTCGACATTCAGTCATATTTACTTTACATATGCCAGTAAGCCTCCAAACATAAGTGTAACATAGATCTTGACTGATGCCCCGCCAGCTAGAAAGCTCCTGACCAGACGGCCAACAAACTTGACACCCAATCCTTAACTTCTAATGTCAAAATATATCATATTACGTTTTGGGGGAAAAAGGATAACAACAAAACACAAACATTTTCTTACCATAATAAATTGCTTAGTATAATTCTGAAGACCAGAGAACACGTCAACATAGACCTGAAATAGTCGACTGTTAGTCGGTCTAATGAACATCCGGGGATTTATTGAGAAAAGCCAAAATATGGGCATAATATCCAGAGATGTTTTAGCCTGATGCAAATTCATTATAACAATTTTCGTTTGTTTGTTTATACTATACATGTTAATCTATGTGTCCTCCGGTAACTTCTCACATATCTAATTGGACCCAAGAAAAATACTGCTAGTGAGAAAGGAGCGATTTAGCAGGATCGGTTATTTTGGTCAAGGATTTGAAACCGGTGTCAGAGAATTCGAGAAATGAATCATACTAATTACAGCTGTCAATTCGGCGTAGTATTGATAAGACAACTTCGTCATCATGAGATAAATGTAATTACGTTTTCATCAATTTGAGATAAGGAGCGCGTCTTGTTCATACAAACAAATTTATACCAGTAAATGATTTGTTTTGGTTAGAGAAAACATTTGCGATCGTTTATTGTTTTGACATATGGTTATATAGACATTATTATGAAAGGTATCAGGTTTTTTGAGGGAGGTTACCAGTTGGATAGTTAAAAGGTGAAAGTGTATGTGTAGATGAGTTGATGGGAGTTTATAGTGTGTGTGTGAGGGTGTGTGTCTGTGTGGTGGTGGTAGTGGGTGGGTGTGGGTGTGTAAGGGTGTGTGTGTGTGTGTGGTGTGTGTGTGTGTGTGTGTGTGTGTGTGTGTGTGTGTGTGTGTGTGTGTGTGTGTGTGTGTGTGTGTGTGTGTGTGTGTGTGTGTGTGTGTGTGTGTGTGTGTGTGTGTGTGTGTGTGTGTGTGTGTGTGTGTGTGTGTGTGTGTGTGTGTGTGTGTGTGGTAATGAAAATATTGCCATAATTAATGCACGTTTACTCAAATTAGCTCCCTTGCAAAATGTTTCTGTCTAACAATTCCATTCAGTTACATGCATGTATTTTGAACTAAACTCCTAAATTACACAAAAAGTCTCATGGTATAGATATCAGAAAAAAAGTATCAATGGTTTAAAATGACAAACTATTTATACAAATGATACGCCCATGCTACTTATGTCAGGTCATGATATAAACATATGTCTGGTCAACATTGTCTGGTTAACATCCTTTACATTATATCAGAACTTGTTTGGTTTTAATTATGAACGTAAAGTTCCAAGTTTGTTTTAATTCTCAATTATATTGTTTATATATAAAATATTGCTGAATTATTTAATAAATATTGTTTAAACTAAAACTACATGCTGATACTCAATCCTGGAACCAGATGGAAGGTCAGTAGAATTGTGTCTTAACACGAAATCCCAACCTGGTAACTAATTAGAGTGTATTATTCTGAGCCTGTATAATCAGCTTGGAGTTTTGGTTCTGTGGTTTCGGACAACCGTAGGGCTGTCCAGCGCTCGACGCTGGTCATTTATTTTGTCACTAGGTATTCATAACCCGAGATTCACAGCAAATTGTCCGAATTACTGACGATAATTCACAATTGTCCAGATAGTGTTTTTGTCAGTTGTCTTGTAAGGTTCAGGGATTTACCACGAATTAGAGGCTATTTTTAGAATCTCATAATACCATATGATTACGTGCTGTGTACGTCAGATCACGTCAGTTCGAGAAATTTGCATTAGAGTCTGTCTCATATACATATGACTTATAAAATTAATGAAGATATTTTTCTTTATGCAAGCAAACCACATTGTCATAACTTTGAAAAAAAAAACAAATTAAGCATTATATTTACCACAAAACCAAACAGCTGATGCAAATATTATTTTTAAAGAAAAGGGAGAGAGAGAGAGAGAGAGAGAGAGAGAGAGAGAGAGAGAGAGAGAGAGAGAGAGAGAGAGAGAGAGAGAGAGAGAGAGAGAGAGAGAGAGAGAGAGAGAGAGAGAGAGAGAGAGAGAGAGAGAGAGAGAGAGAGAGAGAGAGAGAGAGAGAGAGAGAGAGAGGGAGAGGGGTGGGGGTGGGTGGGGGTGGGGTGGGGGTAGGGGGTTAAAGGGACGACGTCATTGGAAGTAAAATTATAACAGAGTTTCATTTTTTAAAACCTGTTGCTACTTTTTATAAAATTTCAGAGTTTGTTTCAGGGGACAGTTGATCATTTCCATTAAGGAGCAGATCTAAGTCACAGTGAACTTGTAAATTCATATCATTTAAGCGTTGGAAAAGGACATTTCTGTGAACATTATAACGATGGCATTCAAAGAAAAAGCGATAGACATTTTCACACATATTTCCACATACACAACTATGGGTATCCACAAGGTTCATCCGAAATAAGTCGTAACTTAGGGAACTGCAATTATATCTAAGCTTTGTATGAATAATGTTTAGTTTACGGTTACCAATACCAAAGTAAGAAGGAGACAAAGGAAGATCGTTAGGTATGTTAGGTATTAAAGACTTTTTGAATAAGTTAAGCGAGGCTGATGACCTGATAGAGCTACCAAGTATATTCCAACTCCGAAGAGTAGACGGCAAGAAAGAAGACATGGTAGTTGAAAGACGACAGAATGGGATTCTATAATTATTACTGCTTCTCGAAGGATAACGAACTTCATCTTGAACAGTAGAGGAAAGTAAGGAAGATAGATATTCAGGAGTTTTGTTACTATGCATTTTATATAAAAGACGAAGTTTCCTTCTCTTTCTCCTAGCAGACAGTGATTCTAAACCAGCTTCAAAAGTTTAAGAATAAATATTAGCATAGGATGGCAGATTCGTTCTATAGAAGTACCAAAATGTATGCCGAACGCGTCAGTTCTTAGGAGCACTGACGATTGAAACTTTAGGAAATATGAGTAATTGGAGTTTTAACTGAAGTGACAGGACTGTGAATGCAAGACTGCTTTTATGTTGGGCGACAACGCTTCGTCAAATTTAGCTAGAAATTGATGTTTATCAATTAACCAAGAATGTGTTTTAAGGAAGTCTTTCAGAGCGAAATCATCGTTGACGAATAGAGTGCGAGATAAAGCAGATAAAACATAATGTATCGATGCCCCAATACTGATAAGTCGATGAAAAATATCGAATCTCGACGTCGAACATGCCGATGTCATTTACAGATCTGGCATCCGTGATCTAGCCGAAAGGTCACCGAATAGTTACTTAAGCCATAGGATTTTCTAGGCTTGGGCATCATTTACAATGCAATGAGGTTTTAAGTGTTATCCCTCTGCGAGGGAAATGCACACGCTTCCTAATTGCAAGCATAATTACATTAATTGAATCCAAATGTGACGTAAATTATGGCCAGGTGATACGATTATGACGCACGTGTATATGACGAAATTTGACGTAAGGAACACAATGGAGTTGTCGACAGTTTTAAGCAGAACGGCATTTTGACGGTGAAATTAGGCCGTTTCCAGGCACACACTGATGACGTTCAAATGGCCTTAAATCACTTCAAATTTATTTTGTTGCAATTAATGCAAAGAAATTGTAAATATCTCTATATTGAAGATACTTGAATGATGTAATTAAATATAATTTGGACACGCAAATATATGTATTATGATGAAATATGACAGTGATGACGTCATACATTTCCTTCTTTTTTTTTTTTTTTTTGAAAACTTTGAAATGCAGAAAGATATTTCCGCTAAGTGGATTATAACTTTTTTCCATCCCTGAGTAGGATGGTTTGTGGTTTTGTTTTTTACACCATGAAGCAGAGAACATCTGGGCCTCAAGAATTGTACATCACACTTTGTTTATAAATGAACGGTACACCCCCATTATACACTACACACCGCCATTACGCTTACATTCCATACCGGAGTAAAATAATACACGTTTTTATGACGGCAGCACGAATCCCTCATACACACATACCGCCTATCGTTCCCTGACACACACACTCACACACGCGCGCGAGCGTACACACACACACGCACACGCGCGCACAAACCCACACCGACCCACCCGTACACACACACACACACACACACACACACACACACACACACACACACACACACACACACACACACACACACACACACACAGAGAGAGAGAGACAGAGAGACAGAGACAGAAAAACACGCAGAGAGAGAGACACACAGAGAGAGAGACAGAGAGAGAGACAGAGAGACAGAGAGAGACAGAGAGAGACAGAGAGACACGCAGAGAGAGAGAAAAAGAGACAGAGAGAGAGAGAGAGAGAGAGAGAGAGAGAGAGAGAGAGAGAGAGAGAGAGAGAGAGAGAGAGAGAGAGAGAGAGAGAGAGAGAGAGAGAGAGAGAGAGAGAGAGAGAGAGAGAGAGAGAGAGAGAGAGAGAGAGAGAGAGAGAGAGAGAGAGAGAGAGACAGAGAGAGAGAGAGAGAGAGACAGAGAGAGACAGAGAGAGACAGAGAGAGACAGAGAGACACGCAGAGAGAGAGAGAGAAAGAGAGACAGAGAGAGAGAGAGACAGAGAGAGACAGAGAGACACGCAGAGAGAGAGAGACAGAGAGAGAGAGAGAGAGAGAGAGAGAGAGAGAGAGACAGAGAGAGAGAGAGAGAGAGACAGAGAGAGAGAGAGAGACAGAGAGAGAGAGAGAGAGAGAGAGAGAGAGAGAGAGAGAGAGAGAGAGAGAGAGAGAGAGAGAGAGAGAGAGAGAGAGAGAGAGAGAGAGAGAGAGAGAGAGAGAGAGAGAGAGAGAGAGAGAGAGAGAGAGAGAGAGAGAGAGAGAGAGAGAGAGAGAGAGAGAGAGAGAAAATAAATATATAAAAGCAAATATATATAAATACCCCTCCCACAAAAAAAAACAAAACAAAAACAAAACAAAAACCCCAAAACCTCATAAATACATTGTATATTATTTCGCTACCAAAGTGTTAGACATTGTGTCTGTGACTGTTGGTGAAGTATAATTCCAAAGATAGACTGAAAATAAAAAAATATCCTAATGATTAACTGTCTATAAAACAAAAGTGAATTCACATATTCACCAGATACATAATTACAAGTAACAGTGTGTTACGTTAACGCTGACCGTTCTCTATACAAACTACAAGTCTTTTTTTACTTCAATATATATTTTGTTCATTTCACGGTTAACTGAAATTTTAAAATAAAAAAATGGAAAACTACTAATTATTCTTTCAAAATTAGTAATTATAAAAACAAATAGCGTCGACAGAAAATTATCAGCTGATATATTACGACTTTTTATAATTTAATAACACCTGGAAAAATTGTGATGACTTTAATCAGAAAAACAAAACCTTTCAAAAAACATAGCACAATAACCACTAATTTTGTGTGTTAACAAAAGGGACACGAACAGGGGCAGATCTGTATTTACCATTTCTAGGTAGTAACATTTATGTTCATCTAATCTACAGTGATTTCAAATCACGTTTGAATCGATATTCATCGACTTCATCTCAGTATCATGATTTCAGTAAAAGATGTTGATATCTGACAACACAGGGATTCGTGAGACGCAGGTAGATGAAGACTATGGCCGTTATCACAGGGATTTGGCACGAATTCCCGACTCATGGCCCATATCTATGTATTATAGTGACAAGGAGTGTAGCTACCGAGAAGGAAAAACTGAACATATTTTTTTCGTTTCTTTTCATATATGACGGGCTGCAGATGTTAGTAACATATACCTTACACTGAAGAGAGATGTTTGATTTTTCCAATGAGTGTTTGATGAACAGGATTGACCAAGGTTTAACCAATTTATGACCTGGCGAACACGCCTTGTAAATATATATATATATATATGAAAAGCTGGTTTTTACCTTGTTCTCTTTTCAGAACGTTACATTACTTATTTCAAGACAAAAATTTCATGGCGTTTGTGGGCGATAAAGCCGAAAACGCTTACCCGTCCGGAACATCTGGTCGTATTTTCATTGTACTTTTTCAAGGATCTCGGTGAAAATCCTTCTTTAGTTCATGTTTTGTTCTTCCTTTAACTTTTGATCACAGTTTTGTCGATAATTTTTTTTCAGGGAATTATTTCTTGCTTGAAAACCACTCTGATAATATACAATAATATTTATTGTCAACCACTGCAGGTCATTCGTAATTAAGCAACCCTGACCCTATAAAACGAGTGTGTTGTGTTTTTGTAAATAAAGCACTCCCCTTTATACGGTTGCCAGATGTTGAGAGGCAGAGGGTTAAACTTGCGTAACGGTATGGTGAGCCCAATAACACTACACAGACGATAGTGTACGCGAGTTAGCGTGGATTAACAAAAAAAAACACCATTTCTTTATCTCGCTTTTGCTCTCCAGCAGCGTAAACCGCCAATGTGCTGAGAGCTAGAGCTGGTACGCTGCTATCGACGTTTCTACACCCATACACTTTATATTCCAATAGAGCACAATGTATCGGGCCCGCCACATGTTCCAAAAATGGCTCCGCAACGTTTGAAAATTCACTCTTCCCAATCCCTCCGTCGATGCAATGTTAATGAACCTGAAAGAATTCAGTTCGAGACTGTTGCTAGACGTAATTTGTGGATGTAAATTGATCAAATGTGAATCAGATTGGAATGTTTACATTTTTTAAAATAGTTACACGAGATTCAATAAAACCGAGAGATAAAAACAGCTAGCGCTTTTAGTTATGTCAACAGTTGCGTATGGGGACATTTGTCAGGCAAAAGTGCCTGCCTGGATATACACTATCTCTATACTATGTTTCATCGATCTGGTAGTACTATATGGGTATTCCTATCTATCGACCGGACACGCGAGATGATACACTGCATGTTACTGATAACCGCGTGGTCCATCTTGACTATCTGTAACTAAAAGCACCCTTAGTGTCGAAACATTGCACGTGCGGACAACCGAATACCAGTTGAGGACTAACCACAATGTCCGTTGTTTTTGTATCAGAGCCCTGTACGACATCGTCTGATAGGAAGATAAATCGCTAGTGTTGAGATACGGGATGCAGTTCGCTACAGTACAGCTCTCCGAGTTGCGAGACATATAGTTTTACTCAGTCAAGCGCCACGCTCTGGTACTGAAATGCGCTGACTGACGTGCATTGGCGCGTTTCTAGTGTGTGGCTGCCCCTGCAGTGCCTCTTCTGGGTTAATGAATGTCAGATTCGTCAGTCCCTCTCGTGCATGGCCAGTGGGGGTACTCGCATGTAGCCAAACATCGGTCAGGAAGACCGTCGAAGCGAGGAGATTTCAGCATTTCGACATTTAAACTAGAGCTTAAAATAAGGAACAGAGTGTCGTCTGCTGAGTATGTGATAAATGACATGCATATGCACGTGCATGTCCGTTGATGTGTAGTGTCCGGTCACACAGAACAGAATTCCAAAGGAATTAGCAGTTACTTAGCAGTAACAAACATGGCAGCCCCATACATGTGGGAAAAACGACTACTTTATTCCTCGACGGGCGGGACACTTTTCGGCGTATTACTGCATATTATCGCAGTCTCTACGACTCACTGGCTTACTTTTGAGATACCAGGCGGGTTGTACATAAATGCTACAGGAAGGTTCCTAAGCGAAGTTCAAAGTGGCCTTTGGCGATCGTGTAAAACGGAATTTACTATAACAAAGGACTCAAACAACCAGAACATCAAACACACATGTAAGTAAATGTGATGTCAATGTTGTCCTCGGGGACTGGCGTTTTCTAAATGATGTAGCCTTAAGGAAATAGGATTACGGAATGTAACATGTCTTGATATTAAAAAAAGTACCGTAGTAATACTTTAAAACAGTCGAAGCTTCATTTACCCATACCGTATTAATCGTAATAACGTATTTTGATGTCTACAATGAAATGACAAACAATAACATTAATCATAGCTATGACATTGTTTCGTACAATACACTGACATCATTCCTGTACTATATACCGTAGTTACCCTGTCGTGTGGAAGTGACATTGTCTCACTCAATACACTGACATCATCCCTGTACTATATACCGTAGTTACCCTGTCGTGTGGAAGTGACATTGTCTCACTCAATACACTGACATCATCCCTGTACTATATACCGTAGTTACCCTGTCGTGTGGAAGTGACATTGTTTCACTCAATACACTGACATCATCCCTGTACTATATACCGTAGTTACCCTGTCGTGTGGAAGTGACATTGTCTCACTCAATACACTGACATCATCCCTGTACTATATACCGTAGTTACCCTGTCGTGTGGAAGTGACATTGTCTCACTCAATACACTGACATCATCCCTGTACTATATACCGTAGTTACCCTGTCGTGTGGAAGTGACATTGTCTCGTACAATACACTGACATCATCCCTGTACTATATACCGTAGTTACCCTGTCGTGTGGAAGTGACATTGTCTCGTACAATACACTGACATCATCCCTGTACTATATACCGTAGTTACCCTGTCGTGATGTAGTGACATTGTCTCGTACAATGCACTGACATCATCCCTGTAATATATACCGTAGTTACCCTGTCGTAATGTAGTGACATTGTCTCGTACAATACACTGACATCATCCCTGTAGTATATACCGTAGTTACCCTGTCGTGTGGAAGTGACATTGTCTCGTACAATACACTGACATCATCCCTGTACTATATACCGTAGTTACCCTGTCGTGTGGAAGTGACATTGTCTCGTACAATACACTGACATCACCCCTGTACTATATACCGTAGTTACCCTATAATGTGGAAGTGACATTGCATCACTCAATACACTGACATCATCTTTGTACTATATACCGTAGTTACCCTGTCGTGTTGAAGTGACATTGTCTCGTACAATACACTGACATCATCCCTGTACTATATACCGTAGTTACCCTGTCATGTGGAAGTGACATTGTCTCGTACAATACACTGACATCACCCCTGTACTATATACCGTAGTTACCCTATAATGTGGAAGTGACATTGCATCACTCAATACACTGACATCATCCCTGTACTGTATACCGTAGTTACCCTGTCGTGATGTAGTTACATTTTCTCGGACAATACTCTTACCCCGATCACATAACTCTGACACAAGATACCCACTCGGGCACACGATACCATAGTCTCTAATCTAAAAGAAATTGAAACTTGTTTGCATCAATATACACCTATAACGTTCATAGCGAGGAGGCGACTAATGAGAGATGAAGTGACGTAAAGACGAAAACACGAACACGTACATTGTAATACGTCATATTTTGCATTCTACCTTTTTGTTGAGTGTCGGCCCAAGTGAAGATTAGTGTTATTGGTACTATGGACCTAACAAACTAATGTCTTTCCAATAAGTCCTTGATAGTCTGTAGCTGACGTTCATGTTTTATTGCGTTTGGTGTTAATATGTAGTCGATATAATATGTATCATTTTCTGTGTTTCTGTGTGTAGATGACATTTCTGTGTAAAATGGTCATACCTTGACACGATTTTAAAATATTTGATGTCTTGCAATAAATAAATGGATTGGACACAAGTTAAAACAATTTTTAAATTCGTCTCCTCATGAACAGGTTGTCGATCATTCACAGACGCCGTCTTGGTATGACATAAGCTGTTGCGAAGACGTGAAACCTTTAACAAAACCCCTCCAAACTAGCACTAGGATACTAAATTGATATAAATGTGCATGTACTTTTGATCCTGTAATACATTAAGGCAGTTCCGGCGTGTGATTGTTTCAGGTTACCCTAAACTAAAGATTCTAATCGATCTTTTTATCCTATATACACAGCTGTTGTACCAGTCTACCAGCGTAGCGATGGCCCAACATCGGTCCTACAAACTGTCTATTCTAACTCAGTCTTAAATACTACGTTCATGTTACGTTACCGAACTAGTCAGTGATATTATCTGCCGAGTAGGGAAATCGAGAACTAGATTTGGGCCATACGTTTGAATTGATCGTGACGTTTCTCGCTTTTTCCCCAATCGCAAATTGCAAGTTTTGTTCGAGTTCTTGGATAAATCACAGCAAACAATTACACCGTAGAAAAAAAAAATGCTCCAGTTCTTGGACATACTTGATTCAATGATATTTTAATGTAACAGACAGACAGACGGACAGCCAGACAGACAGATTATAAACAAGTTCTTACAACCTACGTGATTTCTCCGGTGGACAAATTACACCAGACAATTGGAAATAGTGGTTTTGTTCGAGTTTTTGGACAAATTAAAAAAGAAATTGAACCTCTCGTATCATATCTTATTAAGCAAAAGGAATCTGGTGTAGTCTAACTTATATGGTACTTAATATACAGGTGTTAAGATTGTTGCCATGGTTTAGAAAGGACAAAAAAAAAAACCAATCAAGAGATGGGTAAAAAAACCTAGAATCTTTTGAATTGTGTTCAACAACGTACTGGGATCTACTGCATATGTACCATTTTTGCATACATGCTACGGCTGTCATTTTGCCTTCACTCCAGGCTGTCCGTGAGTTACGGAGTTCGCGGTATCGACGGTATTAGTGGTTCCATATTGTTATGACAACATTCCTGTCCGATGAACGTGTTACTGTATTATAATCTCGAGCATATGTTAGGGTCTCTCTGTGCACAGAATATATTCACGTTCGTGCCAGGTTGACCAAGGATGCCCACGTGTCCGCCCGTATGTGACTTAACGAGCTATAACTTCACTGCCAGGCTCGTGAACACGCGCCCGGTCAATCATAACATACCATAAGACAACATGTATCAATTCCGTTCATAGTCAGTCTAGTGCGCCGTACAGAACCATGTTGCACTTCTTCGTCGTGCGTGTATTCCCTGCCGTACATTTGAAGCATCAGTCCCTCTCGATACTTTCCTATTTTCATTTGCCAGTTTACTGTCCTTTTTTTTTTGCTTTTTTCCAATCCCTATTTTTGAGTTGCTTGGATTGAATACTCCATGCACGCTGCTTTCAAGTCCCGGATTCAGTGTTAGAATATTCTAAACGAATTCGCTGCAGTGCTTTGTGTTTCAACTGTTGCATTAAATCGCCCTGACCCTAAATGACCCTAAATATAATTGTCCAGTTGAAGCTAGTCTGTTCTGAATCCGTTTTCCTTGTTGATGCCTTTTCCGTTTTAGTCAAACTCCCAACCCTTGACCTACTTGACGTTGGCTAATTCGTTTGGATTCTATGATCATTATACTCAACTTTCATTTCGACCGGCCATGTGAAGTATGTCTGTCATCCGCCCTGTGTTTAGAAGGAAAATCTTTGTGTAATCAACTTTACGTTGCCCACATTGGAATGCTTTCTTTTCCTTTTATCAGTTTTTCATGTTTAAATAAAAAATCTCCAATCTGCTATACTTTATATTGAGATTTTTTCTACCGCGATACACAAATTGCCTGGTTTAAGTGCTGCCAATCCCTACCTCTCTGAGGCCAAGCTGAAATATTACAATCACCTGTCATACATTCTCAAGTATTCTGTTTCTTTGTATTTTCCGAAAAGTAGTCCAAGATTTTGTGTTAAGTGGTGTAACTGTGACAAGTTCGTATCAAGTTAACATACGTACATCTTTTGTCTCCTGCTCAACCTTGCGCCCACACATTTCACTATTTTTGGAATTTTCTTGATTTGAAGGACAACATACACACAAAACCACCCCCACACCACCACATAACAACCCCCACCCCCACCCACACACACAGAGTGGATGAAGTTTCCAAAACAAAAAACGATGTGAAGGTCACCTATCCAAAACTACTGGAAGAACTGCATGGATATCAAAGGCTGGAGCGGGTTGAAGATGATGGTTTTTTAACCTTTGCTTAAACACATTTAATATATTGTCATATAGATATGAGAAATAGAATCAACACCTAGGTAAGTGTAGGCTCACCAAAAAAATCTCGGTCAACGTGATGAGATCTTTTAATGTCTCCACTTGACCCAATATTTATGTTAGATAGTCAAGAATATCATCCCATAGGTAGAGATTAGTCTCACTTGCGCTCAAAGGAAGGGAATATGGTTTTGTGGAGAATCCATATTTCTGTAAAAATATCTTTAGAATAAAATTGATACTCCTACTGTTGCTGCGGCGCATTCGTCCGCATTAATAATTCAGAAATATTGCAATAATAAACAGTCTGCATTGTCATTGATAGATATGTACTTTCATCACTGAAATCAATTTCACAAGAACACAATTAACAAATGTAACGCTCTCTGACAGCCCCTGGTCGTATCATTGTATGATTTCAAACGGCAGTTTACGATTACGAATTGTTCCGTGTAACTTCAGCACTGTCTGATAAATATCACCGGTTTTCGATGTCCCTCCGAACGTTTCAAGTTCAGTAGCTGTAATACTCTTGAGGGTTTTATTTGACTAGCGTGTGACGTCGTCTTATATATACCTCCGCGAGCTTGAGCCGAATATAATTAAGCATATGTAGTCCCGCCGAGGCTCCGTGGTTTTATCAGACGGACGTAGAAAGCTCACAAAAACAGGAAACTTCCGAGAAAGGCTTAGGTAGCGAATCTTATTAAAGATACATCTTATATATATATCGACATTAGCTTGAAACCTTTGCGCTGTGGTGTGCACAGCCCTACATCCCAGGCATCACAAGGTCAATAGGTGCGTGTTGTGTGTTGTTATTCAACCAAGCTCTAGCACAC